AAGCGAAAAACCACAGGGGAATTAGAAACTCAAGTTTGTAGAAAGTCAACTCACACAGACCAAATACTGAATTACAACAGCAACAGTCCAATAGCGCACAAAAGGAATTGCGTACAAACTCTATTCAAGAGGGCCAGGACTCATTGCAGCACTCCCACCTTAAGGAAAATTGAAGAAAGATATCTGATGGACGTCTTCCAAAAGAATGGATATCCACGGAATTTCATCAAAAGACACATACTCCCAAGCCAACCTATCAAAGCAAAAGTCCCCAAGGAAAGCACAAGGAAAATTGCCCTACCATATATGAAGGACATTTCAGAAATCACTGCAAGACTCTTCAAATTTTCAGGAATTGACATCACACACAAACCAACAAAATCACTTCATTCAGTTCTATTTCAACCAAAAGACCTAACAACGAAAGAAGATAAAACCAACATCATCTACAAAATAAATTGTAACAACTGCGAAAAACAATACATTGGCCAAAATGGACGTCCCCTTCGTCTCCGTATCCATGAACATAAGCTAGCCGTCAAAAGACATGACATCCACTCCCTCATATCACTACATACAGACAACCACGGAAATCAATTCGACTGGGACAGCGTTCAAATATTAGACAGAGGAAACACCAAGAATGCCAGAGGATTTTTAGAAGCATGGCTTTCCAGTGGATCATCAATCAATAGACACATGGAGATAGACAAAATTTACCAGCCTCACAAACATAGGGTCAAAGTTCAAGTCAAAGTGTAACAACAGAAGACAAGGGCCAGGCAACAGATCGTTTATTACGAAAAATCAACACGTATTTATAGATTTTTATGTACATTATTGTAGGTCAATGTTAGTAGAAAATACAGTCTGTTGATTGGTTGTTTCTCACACAAAGGTAACCTTGCATCTCTTGTGGCTGTGTCAGTTCATCTATATGTTAACTGTAACCGCCTGTCCACCTTGACCTTTGACCTCAATTACTGTCAACCAATTTGGCCAGCAACCATCTCTCACCACAACATGACTAATATTTGATACATAAACATTGACCTCAATTACTGTCCACCACTTGGCTAGTAGACAGCCCTCACCACACTCGTCCCCCCGTCAAATAGTTTGGACTGAAGTCGGCTCGGTCTTCTCGGTTCTTGGGGCTTTGCTCTGTTGTCTTGCTGTCTGGAATCTCGGCGCTTGCGGATGTCCACTTGTTTAACGGTGTTTACCATTGCGACTGTGTCTGCGTAACCCCATCTCAACGTGACCATATATGGTCCTTCCCACTTTGGAAACTGCTTGCCTGACCCTGTCGCACATTCGTAGGTATTTCGCCTCACACTTCCATATGCTGCTTTCTCCCGACCTCCCAGCAGCGTCCCAAGTAGCAGCCTCATCGCTGACAGATCTTGAACGCCACTCAACTGCGAAGAAGCCTCGAAGTCCTGCCCGAAGATCCATATGTCTCCATCAAAAACTGCAGGGCATAGGCTTTCCATTTGTCGGTAGGCAGCGACACCAAATGTAACAACAGAAGACAAGGGCCAGGCAACAGATCGTTTATTACGAAAAATCAACACGTATTTATAGATTTTTATGTACATTATTGTAGGTCAATGTTAGTAGAAAATACAGTCTGTTGATTGGTTGTTTCTCACACAAAGGTAACCTTGCATCTCTTGTGGCTGTGTCAGTTCATCTATATGTTAACTGTAACCGCCTGTCCACCTTGACCTTTGACCTCAATTACTGTCAACCAATTTGGCCAGCAACCATCTCTCACCACAACATGACTAATATTTGATACATAAACATTGACCTCAATTACTGTCCACCACTTGGCTAGTAGACAGCCCTCACCACAAAAGAAACAATCAATTCTAATACAAATAGCTCAGAGGGTGTGAGAACACAAAAACAACCAATCATGTCCAAGGTCACCAGGAGAGATGATTAATAAACTCGTGGAGAAATCTAAAAGCTCACTTCAAATTGAAGTATGAGCTGAAAATACTGCCTAGTAGGGCGATGAAAGCTTCTCAAATTAACTATCCGGTCCAGAGAACACAACCACATCAAAATTCCCACGGTGTAGGGCAATGACGTACTCATGTATCCTGAAGCAACTGACGAGGTGATTCTATGTCGAAATATTTAGGAGCTATCGCAACAACGAAACCTTCATATACACGATGCATTCCCAAATGAACACAAGCATTTCAGCTAGAGACTTCTCAGGAAATGTGCAAGATTTCAAATGAACCCATAGTAAATGTCGGTCGTTAAACTGGATAAGTGTGTCATCATTTACTTCCGACATCAGTTACATATTCTTAGATACATTCTAATGTACAAGCTTCTACATATGGGTAAGCGCTTAAAATTCGAGTAAGAAATACATTTTTGATGTATAACGATGGTGTAATCATTGAACTGACAACTTTCTACTTCATACAACTGGTTCCCTTGATAAATTTCGATAAAGAAAGGAAGACGAAATTTGCAGTATAAAATGATATCATTCTATTTCACAGGTTCTCATCAGCTGCAGACTACCTGAAATTACAATGGTTATATAAATGATAATAACATACTTTAATGTTTGAGTAGTAGTAGAGAAGAGATAAAATTGACGCATCCAAAAAAGAATGAAAGCATTACAATTTTTAGTTGAAGTTATCATCATCAATTTATACACTTTCAGAGTTGAAAAGAGGGGGGAGGGGTAAGACAGAAAACAGAAAAATTGATTAACAGAAACAGTGTTAGCTTGTAGGTTCACATGGCAACTCCAAAAAACGAAAGCATTTACAGTTTATAAGATTGAGATTTGCTCAGTGAGTTGACATCACTGAATTAGATAACTAATCAAAATCAAAATTCAGTTACCAAGGGAGTGAGAGGTTAGTCACACTCCCTTTCTGTATGCATAAGTCTGGTTTAAATCGTTTGATTGCGATCGCTTCGGCAAATCGTAGTAAATTTGCTGTCCTTTGTCGATTTAATATTTTGAAGGACTTAGAAATCTCTACGAGATGTCCGGTATCAACAATATGTCTGGTAATTGCACTCTGAGAATATTTGCTTCCTTTCAGGCATAGGTTTCTTGGAATATGTTCAGAAAACCGGATAGAAGCCCTTCTTTCTGTCCTTCCAATGTACTTGCTCCCGCAAGTGCACGTAAATTCATAAACGCAGTTGGAGGTGACATCAGCAGGGTGTTTATCCAGTTTTGAGTGGATCATGGAAGGAGTGGTGTTGTATACTGTTATGAGTTTTGCTGCCGGGAAGCTTCTATTTATTGCTCCTTTCAGTCTTCTGTCAATCTTTTGTGAAACTGCGTCTCCTTTGAATGGGAGACAAATAAACACTTTTTTCTTTTCTACAGTTGGATGCTTTTCTTTCTTATCTTTTTCTCTGCTATACCTCTATATAAATCCTTTAGGGTATCCGTCTTCCCTCAGGCATTTCTCGACGAAATCTAGTTCTTCTTCGACCTTGTTTGGTGAACATAACTTCCTGGCTTTGTCGTACAAAGTCCTCACAACTTTCTGTTGTCCCTTACAGAGCATGACAGTGATTTGGAGCGAAAATAAAGACGCTACAGTTCTTCAAAACCGGATGAACAAAAGGAAGCATCACGGGAAGCGACCAGTTGAGAGTCTGAGAGAGACACGGATATGATGTGAAAGGAAAATCAAAGATTTCAGGCGGTTGTGCAGCTTATTCAAAATGATTTCTGGGGAGTGAGTGTGATGGAGGTGTGCTGCAGAATCCATCTTCCCTGCCGGCAACACGAGGAACGAATGCCAAGAATGTCTCCACTTATCTGCAATGCAGATACTAGCCCATACCACAATTCAGTAGGAACTCAGCATACTGAGTTAAAGGCATTCAATAATCCGGAATATTCGCGGGACAATACGCAGCAGATGTCGAGTCCACCGAGATGAAATCCCATACTGGCTGTAAACTTCGAGTGGAATTTACGTTCACGTAATAGTTTTAGAAACACAAAAGACGGGTCATTAACAATAAACATCAAAGACCCTAAATGTATCCCAGTCAGAGTTTCTACATCATTTACGAGTTCGCTAAAGCATACCACATGCAGAATAAGCAAACACAAAAATGATATCTGTGAAAGAAAATTAAAATAATTGTGGCTTTTCACTTTCGAGGGAGTAGTGAACTCCGGTTATTCAACCAGGCTAAGACAACCCAGTCATTGGGTTCTTCTGTAACCTTAGTGAGTTTTCTCGAACCACTCACAGTTAGAGTTTATATTACAAACCATATCCAGACACAGTTCAACGCCAATCACCCTCCAACACCAACAAAAATAACAAGATACATCAAAAATAGAAGAATACTGCTCGATAGCCATTCAGCCTGAAAGTCTCCCAACCACAGAATACATATCATACAGCAAAATTATCAGCCTAATGTAACTGTCAAACACCCGATAAGCCGCAAGTGAGATTCGAATTCTTCACATAAGGTGGTCAATGACCAGAGCCCCTTATCGACACTAGTGGCCTATGAAGTCAGTTTTTCACGTTGTTCCAGAGACCTCAAGGACACACATAATTCTCGGTCTGAACTGAGGCTAATGTTGACTATTTTTAAGTGACCACATATCCAGGCAGACGTAAGCCTTGTTCATGCACTTGGTTGACTCCTCAGCCTGGCTCACTCCCTTAACACTGCCCTTGACATCGACGGACTAGTGTTAAACTCATACCGCTTCAAAGATAAGCCCAGTCACATAGGATAATTAGAAACCTCAGGAATATACAATGCAGGTACTACACTACTGTTCCTTCAAAAAAAGTATCCGTGACACTCTTCCTTTTATTCCAGAAATAAAGACAAGCAAACTGACAGGGGAAGATCAATTATCTGATACTCCACTGGTCCCACGAAATAATTTGATGGCCTACGGAGTTATCAGCTCGCTCGGTGAATGATTTTGGGGTGGAGCTGAATCACACACATGCATACATACTATAAGGTTAAAAATAAACTACTACAAGTTAGCTAGCCTATACCCCTGATAACTGAGTATCCTATCTTTCAAAGCTTAAGGTGTTAGACTTCTATACGAAAAAGTGCGGTACTTTTTCGACCTTAGGGAGTGCAGTGTTGCATATAAAGGCGTGATGGTGTGACCTTGTGGCCATAACAACATGTTTATATGACAAAGTAAGTGAGTGTAAATCACTTAGTAAACAGCTTTTCGAACAGCATGGTGTTGAATGAAGGCCGACAGTCATTGTTCATAGTAGTAATTAACAATGTGGTTAACTAGTAGATTTTCTTGAATACGTGTGTGGTAGAATAATGCAGTGTTAATGTGCAGAATACACTTGTTCTTCGAGGACTCATCAGTAGGCTAATAACAGTAGTGTTTCTCTTAGTTAATCGAGCGAAATCAACATATTCGCGGATGATAAATATATGTTATAACAAACAATCAGAATTTCTTGGAAATATAATAAGGGTATTTTTTGTATTTTCACTTAGGGATATGGTCAGAAATGTGAGGTGTTGAGTCGATATACTTTGTCTTGGCAAACAATCGGTGTTTTTGGGTATAATGAGCCAGGCTACGAAAAATGTGTAGTCTGCCCGAACATATGGGGTCATTTGTGTGTTATTATGTTTTTCAGAAATTGAACAGTGTTCTATTATGTACTAGTACTCAGTCATAAGGATATCCTTATCCTTACCAGCATAGTACATACTATACTGACAAGTCTAAACACAGTTGTGTAAATCTTTGCGACTAATATCTGCCTTTATTCTTGGTTGCTACTTGAAATCGTCCTCTCAAGCAACGAATATCGTGTTCCGAGATACGATTTTTGATCTACTAATCACCCGTGGAATTACCTTGAGCTTATTCTACTGAATTTTGTGTACTTTCTTTCAATACTGAATCACCTGGTTTTATGTTTGCTGACATTAATTCAATGGCTGTGTGCTAATTATGATGTGATTGTTATCATGTCCCAAATACGAATCATCTGGTCCACCGTTTATGCAGCCACTTATATAGATAATTGTGTTTGCTTGGACACTTGATGATTGAGGATGCATGGAAAGATGTTATCTTTCATTGACGTTTTGAGATTCACCTCGTTCTGTAACTTCTGCGACTTTGCCGTTTATAATAGATGTTCAGAAAACGTCCTTGGCTTTCTACCATTGTTATGTGTCTTACGTGTTGTTTAGAGTCAGGAGCATTGAGGTTAGGTATGCAGGAGTATTCAGTCAGTGAAGTTGTGGAACCCAATGGATCTAGATTGCTGAGATATGTGTTAGTCACGACCTCCAGTCATTTCTCTGAACCAGCAATGTTAGCTGAAATGGGACTACTCTGTATTCCTTTCTATTATATTATTATTGTTCCCTTGGGTTCCTAGTGGAACATAGGGCTTCAACTACACGTCTCCACTTGCTTCTGTCTTGTGCTGTACTTTTCACTTGCATCCATGTTAATCCATAGTGTTTCAGTTCCTCATCACACGATCTCCTCCATGTCACCCTTGGACGTCCCACTCGCCGCTTCCCTTTCGGGTTCCACTCGAGCAATGGCCTGACGCGCGATGTCACCCAACGGCCTCCTCAGCGAGTGTCCAATCCATCTCCACTTTCCCCTGCATATTTGTTGGGCGATTGGTTCTTGTTTTGTTTGTTCCCATAGTTTCTTGTTGGTGATTCTTTCCGGCCATCTGATCTTCAGTATAGAGCGAAGACAGTTGTTGATAAAGGTCTGCAACAGGCTGTTGGAAATATTCTTGGTGACCCGCCAAGTTTCTGATCCATCCGTATAGAAGAACTGACTTGACGTTTGTATTGAAAATCCGAATTTTGTTGTTGATGTTGAGTGACGAAAATTTCCAGATTGGTTTCAGGTTGATGAATGTGTTTCTCGCCTTCCCGATTCTCGATTTGACATCCTCGTCCGTTCCTCCTGTAGTTGAGACAATGCTCCCTAGATAAGTGAATGAAGTAACCTCTTTCAAATCCCTCCCGTTAATGGTGATTGGCGCTGGATGTTGCTGCTGCTGCTGTTGTTATTGTTGGTTGGTTATTTTCATAACCTCCGTCTTGTCTATGTTCACCTGGAGTCCTGTTTTTGCTGCTTCTTCGACCAGTTTGTCGGTTTTCGCTTGTAAGTCTTCGATTTTGTGTGACATCAAACATAAATCATCTGCGAAATCCACGTCTTCTAGGTTCTTCACGTCGGTCCAGGATATCCCTGCCTTTTCGTTTCCCACTGTCTGACGCATAATCCAGTCCACCACCATTAGGAATATCATTGGTGATAATAAGCACCCTTGTCTGACTCCTGTGTTTACTCAAAACACCTCGCTGAGTTTTCCGTTGTGGATCACTTGACATGTGCCGTTGTCGTACAGCTGTTGAATAAGGTTGATGAATATTTGGGGTACGCCGTAGTACTTGAGTAGTTTCCAAATTACTTCGCGGTCAACGCTGTCGAAGGCCTTTTCAAAGTCTATAAAGTTGAGGTAGAGATTTGATTGCCATTCCATGCTTTGTTCGATGATGATGCGTAGAGTTGCAATTTGGTCAGAACATGATTTACCTTTCCTGAATCCAGCTTGTTCTGGTCGGAGTTCTGTATCCAGTGCGTCCTTTATTCTCTCCAGGATGACGCGACTCAGGATTTTACTTGGCGTCGACAGGAGCATGATTCCTCGCCAGTTCTTGCAGAGTCCTAGGTCGCCCTTTGGTATTTTCACTAGTTAACCTTTCCTCCAGTCAGTAGGCACCTTTCCCTCTTTCCAGATCTTTTGCAATAATGGAGTCAGCATATCTGCTGTCGTCTCTGGGTCTGCTTTCAGTGCTTCCGGGGGTATTCCATCTGGTCCAGCTGCTTTTCCAGCTTTCAGAAGCTTGATTGCATTCATGACTTCAGCTTTCGTTGGAGGATTGGTGTCAACTTGCAGTTGTGTACGTGCTGTTGTTGGTATTTCTGGACGGGTTGTAGGTGGTGGTCGATTCAAGAGTCCTTTGAAGTGGTCCACCCATTGTTTAATCTGTCTTTCTTCCTTGGTAATTGGGTTGCCTTGGCTGTCTTTTATAGGTTTCACTTGTGTTGATCTCTTCCCGGATAGAGACTTGGTTATCTGATATAGTGTCCTCAGGTCCCTTTTGCCTGCTGCCTTCTCAGCTTCAGTAGCCAGGTTGTCGTAGAATTGTCTTTTGTCCTTCCTGGCACTCTTCTTCACTTCTTTGTCCAGTGCTGTGTAAGTTGAGCTCAGCGTCTCCTTCTCTTGTCCATCTTTGCATTGAATCATTTTCTCTTCCACCTTTCTCCTCTCCTCTATTAGCTTCCAAGTGTCCGTTGAGAGCCATTCCTTGTCTTGTTTCTTCTTTCTTCCTAAAACCGTTGAACACGTTTCGTTGAAAATTACCTTCAGAGAGTTCCAATGGTCTTCCACGGATGATTCCTCAGTGGTATCACGCAGTGTTTCCTGCTTTGCTCTGACAGTTGCAGTGAAAATGTCCTTTGTGGTTGTCTCCTTCAGTTTTAGCGTGTTGAACTTGCATTGTGGCATATCCCCAGGTATCCTCGAGGCTTTCAGCTTCACCTTGAAAGTCCCTTGTACTAGATAGTGGTCTGAACCCACATCTGCTCCTCTCCTCGATCTTGTGTCCAGTAGGCTCCGTCTCCACTTCCTTGAGATTGAAATGAAGTCTATCTGGTTCTTGGTGTGTCCATTTGGTGAAATCCATGTTACCTTGTGTATATCCCTGTGTTTGAACACACTGCCACCAATCACCAAATCATTGAAGGCGCAGAAGTCTGAGAAGAGTTCACCATTTTCGTTCATTTGACCGAGGACCTCGCGACCCATGGTGAGTTCTCTTCCTGTATTGTCTCTTCCCAGCTTCGCATTCATATCACCCATCAGGATTTTGATATCTCTCTTTGGGACGTTGTCCATTACTGCTTGCAGTTGTCTGTAGAAATATTCCTTCTTCTCTTGTTCTGAGACGTTTGTAGGCGCACAGCATTGAATGATTGTAACTTTTTTTCCTTTTGAGCTGAACCCAGCTGTCATTATCCTGGAGGAGATTGGTTCCCACTGCATCAAAGCTTTGGCTGCTGTTGGTGATATCATGATGGCTACTCCCTTGGTGTGCTCGTGATTGTCCCCTGGGTGACCAGAGTAGATTATTGTCTCTCCAGTTGGTAGTTGGCTCCTTCTACATCCGTTCCATCTGCTCTCGCAGATTCCCAACACTTCTATTTTATATCTTCTCATTTCTGCGGCTACCTGAGCAGCCTTTCCAGTTTCGTACATTGTACGAATATTCCACGTCCCCATCTTTATTTTTGCTTTCATCGAAAGGAGGCACATCGGCTGACTGGCTTCCCGAAGGCTTTTACCAGCCTGCGTCATTTCACTTCCCCGATTCCAGCAAAAAATAAGGTTGTCGTTTATGTTTTTAGAATTTTCAATATATTTGTGCGTTGAAGTTTCTTTAGCAATTTGGTTAAGTTTTGGGGGTGGATTTGCTAGCAACACGCCCCAACCCTCCCTCTTTATCCGGGCTTGGGACCGGCTAGAATACTAGTGACCTAGTAATCTAGGCGAGGTTGTATTCCTTTCTAAATCATGCTAAATTTACTTCAAGCCAGTTTTATTAATTTTTATGTTAGAAGTTCAGTTCTTGTATTGTAAACTGCATAAGTTATTCCATGTATACCATTAGCTATCGAAAATTTTTTTTGATTCTTATTTCGGAGATTTTCACTGAGTTCTGTAGTACGTTTTAACTCACCTGGAAGTTGTAGAAGTGAGCACTATCTGTGCTCAGATTTTCGCTCGAAATATTTTTCTGCTCGTTGGTGTTTTCCTTTCCAAACTTAAATGTAACTGTCGTCATTAGTGGTGTTAACTTAGGTTACGTGCAGTTTATTTCAGGAGGTTCGTGTGCACATTGAGATTCACAAATGGCCTGAGCGAACCAAAACATGCAAGCGGTTAACAGAAAACAAGAATTTATGTGCTATCTGTAAACAGATTTTAGTCTTTGTTGGTTTTTTTTTTCGACTTCAGTCTATGGCTTTCTGCATGCTTTTTGTTTAAGAGATATTTTATTTCATTGACTTGAGTTGTTATAAATGTGACATCAAAAGGAGTTCGAGGGCAATGCAGTGAAAGCAGAGTAACAATGGGATTTAGACATTAAGTAATAAACACATGAGTTTTATATGATAATAAATTTTGTGAGCGACAGATATTTTCATTTGTAAGTGTTTGAAACTGAAAGTAATTCTTACCATAATTTAAGTAACCTTTGAGACATAGGACCTTGAAGAAAAATAGTTTATGCGATTCTAATCCTTCCATTCAGTTTTACTTCAACCAGAAGTAGTCGAAAAGACAAAGCAAGAATAACGACTTCATCGTCCGAAACGTCATGTGTACTCTAAGATCGGTTTCGTTAAACCAGGATGCATGTTTACCTCACTGTGGATTCTGGGTCAATATCAAAGCGTAATACAACAGTATACCAAACAGCGAAGTCACTCAAGTGGTTGCTTTCAAATTTTCGTATCCACTAAAATGGTGCAGGCCAGTATTTAATGTTGAGTGTTAATATAGTTAAGAGCTATAGGATTGTCTGTGTCTGCATTAAAAACAACTGTAATCGTATGTCCATGCAAAAAAGATAGCCAAGGAACTATTGCTAAATGGATCTAGACTACGATCATGAAAATGACACCAAATGTCGAAGCAGACTGTAATGAGAAATCTTTAGGTGGGGTTATGTGCTAAATGTGCGTCTCGCTTTGTCCTATAGCTTTCTGTTGTTGTGACGATCACAGTTAGATTGCGCTGAAGAGAGGAATGGTCAGGCCGAAACGTCTCGTCAATCTATGAAGCTTCGGCTGTTTTTTCTAAGGTAATCTAAAATGTTTTCACTCTCTGGATGTGGTTTTCGGGACGTTAATCAGTAGTTGAAGACTCTTGTTAGTGTGTAAAAATTAGGTTAAAGAAACGTGATGCGGTTGATCGGTGAAGCCTTTGAGCTGGTAGCAAATTTGTGTGACAGATGGAACAGCTTAGCTATCTTGTGTTAATCATGCCTTTACATATTACGATAATAAAATTTTTTGTAGCGGTCCTTTTAGCATGTGCCATTTAGGTATTCAAAGTTCCTTCATTATTTTGCTGTTCATCGCTGTAACGTTTACTGATTTAAAAATAGTAAAACAACAGTGTATCAGTTTATAAAGCTTTTCATCTTTCATATTGTATCTGTTTAGTACACTGTGCGAATCAACGTTTCCTGAATCTTTGTTTTATCTTTTGAGAACTGATTACCGTTACATATTAATTGCACGAGGAGAAGAAACATGCCAAAAATTTTTCGACCTAGCATAAAACAAGTAAAAAGTCAAGTAAAAACGTAGGTGCTTGTTGTTAATTATTCCATTAAATTTAGAAATGAACAGGAAACCCGAAAAAATGACAGTAAAGAGGTAGTTGATGCACCACCAGTTACCGAATCACCATCCTGCACAGTTCCAAGTGAACCAATTATCAGGTAGTGAAATAAAACAAATTTATTTTCTCAGTCCCCCTTTAGTTTCAGAATGCGTTTTAGAAAATCCTGAAACAAACGACCAAAGGTATTCCTTGTACACACCTATATTTTCAGGCCAACTGATCTTGATTCAGAAGTCTCCGTTAGTGGTGAGAAGTCTCAGCCATCCGGAGAATTAGTGAACTTGTTTGTAACTAAAAAGGTATGTCTAATTTCTTTATCCATATTTAATTAAATATTGTAGCCCCGAAGGATTAAAACAAAGATAACAGAAGCAATTCCTCCTGTGGATCAACCACTTGATCGGTCTTCTGTCACTCTTCGTTCGTTACTGCATTGGGTTCCCATTAATAAACCACCTCCAACGTAAGTTCTTATAATATATTCAACTACTAATTAAGTTATCGACAAGACCGTCTCAATTCTACTACTTGTTCAGTTAATGGAGATGCAGACGCCTCTGATGCCGATGTTAAAACGCAAGAAGACGATTCTGCTAACATTGAAGTCAAAGAAACGTCTCCAAAAATTGCACCCAGTGACGCTTATTTGGATCCATTAGCACCACAGTTACGCATTGATGCCAATGGAAATATAGTTTTGGATGAAACTAGTTTATTGATTAAAAAGAGTGATAATCTCGATATGAAGAATTTGCGTCACATAAACGAGGAGACAGGTATACTTAACGTCAACTATAACAGCTTCCGACCTCCTCGCGATTGCCATGGGAAAAGGTGGACAGAACGAGAGACTACACGGTTCTATAGAGCTTTAAGTACTATTGGAACTGATTTTTATGTTATGGAGAAAATGTTCCCACGTCGTAAAAGATCCGAACTAGTGGTAAGTTTTCCATATTCATTTGTATAACGGCTTTTCTTTTGAAGTTCTCATATTATAAAATTTTATTGCCTGTAAAAACATTTTTGTTTCCTGTATACATATTCCATGGATTGTTACAGATATTTGATGCATGTCTGTCTGTGAACAATGAAGTCGCAATTTCTCATGTTACATCTAGTAAGGATTTGTAGGATAAGTCTTCAGAATAAGTTAACTTCAAACATTGTCAGTTGTTTTCATTTAAGTATAAAAAGAGTCTCTTGCTTGCTTTTTATTACTCAGTTTACTTTCTAGTAACCTAGTACCATCCTGAACAATAGTTTGAATATGCTCCATATGGTTTCTAATATTTGCTTATTTGTTCTTGTTGATAAATTGTCCGTGAACGCACCGACTATTATGGCCTCCATGCATGAATATTAACTGTTGGCAACTAACGTTTCAGAATTATAGTAGAAAAAATGAGCTGACATAAAAATAGTACATAGTGCCGACTCCAAATGATATGCGCCTAGACAGACAACTGACAGATTACCAATTCTGGCCATTAATTTTAGTAATTACAGGGGAAAGGTTTATTGCTACCACACTTAACAAACTTCAAAAAAGCAAGCATGAAAGTAGGAAATGGAAAGCTAATAAAACTGTGATAGATAAGAATGATGTTTTACAATCCCATTGACTTCGCCTACTAGCCTAACACTTTACGCGTAAGCTCATTGTTTCTGACTGTATTGCACCACCTAACATAAGAAGTTGAACGCAGACCCCTATAGTCGAAAACCTCTAATCTTTTCACGTCGTTCTTATTCAACGGACATGTCTCACAGACCTAAGGTAGGAAGTAGCAAACTGATGCATAGTACATAATCGTTCTATGAATATCATACTGGTTGAAAAGATGATGCAGATTAGTAAATGCCAAATAAACCTTTAATATCCTTACTGAGATTTCGTCAACTGTCAGTTTATTAGATTAGCTGAAACTTTCGAGGTAAGTTCAATGGTCGACACATTCATGCTTATCACTATCTTGAAACTAGGTGTCTGTGCACACCAATCTTGTAGCACCAAGTGACATTTGAGATAGTCTAGTCCCTTCCAACCACTGGGTTTTTCGTTCAGGGTATTCAAAGAAATTTATTTTGTCATCGCCCACACCTGAAAGGATGATATCGTCTGCATAATCTAGATTAACTAGAGTCTTTCGTGGCAACAGTCCATTACAAGATATCTGAGTTGACCACAGTCGCATTTATCAATACATTTACAGCGAAATTGAGTAAGAATGATGGTGATAAACATCACTAGTTATTTTCACTTCAGATGACAACTCTACATAAACTCTCACACGTCTGCGGCAGGTCAAGCAGAATGTCTCAATTAGTACAATATACTTTCTCGACACTCTCTTCACAACCACACATCCCCACAGCACCTCTCGAAACCTGGAGCTAAGTATCACTTTTTGATCGAAAATATGGAAGATGTTGGACTCAGGTATGTATGTGTTCCGGAACCTGTCGAAGAATGAAGTATATGTTCTTCAACAGTCACGACATCTTGATAGAGTTTTGGGAAATCCATCCTGAAACTAGTCACTAAAGGGGACTGAATGATGTGACTGTAGATGCTCTTCAGTAACATTGGGATGCAGTATTGATATTTGCCAGAATTTAGAAATAAGTTATCGTTAGATCTCGAAATCGCTACTAAATAATATGCTAACCTCGAGATGTGTTTATCTTTGACTCCATTCTACAGGTGGCCATGGCTGCTCACTGATAAAGCGTGTGATTACCTTGATATGATTATGAGAAATAAATTGGGCTCGAAAAGTCATCAGTAAACATTCCTGTATAACACTGTGAGACTTTATCAAAACAAAATTTACCCATAATGGGATTACACTCTACGTTTTATTCTCATATCAAAGAAGCAAGTGGAGACGTGCAGTTGAAGCCCTGTGTTCCACTAGGAACCCAAGGGAACAATAATAATATAATAATAATAATTTATATTTCATCATAAATGTTTCATTGTCATAATAAGCTAACACACATACACCCTAGTAGAGGCACCATTCTTCAAGAATGAAATTTAAAGATTACTCATCCGTGAGTAAGTGCTTATGGAGTTGTATGAATCATTTGAAGAACATTCTTGATGAAAAATCAGTGTGTCGAACAATGGCTCTTGGTAGCTTAGCAAGACTGCATAATTTGTAGTCTTCAGTCATTTTTTGAAATCAATCAATCATTATTTTCATGGTGATTTTCTTTTCATCCTTGTAGTATTTACAAGGTTATTTCTTAGATTAGTTCATAATTTTATTTGTAGTAATAAATCATTTTTTACTTCTGACTATCTGTTCTTTAAAGAGTAAATTTAAACGAGAAGAGAAAAGGAATCCTTACCTTGTCAACCAAGCATTGCGTAAGTTAAATTCCCTGTGAAAATAAGCAAATGATTTTAATAATTTTTAGGTAATCGACGAACTTATGATCTAATTAACTTGCTACCTTCAAGTGATGAAGAGAATGATGAGAAATCCGAGAAAACTTCAAAGAATCGCAAGAGGAAAAGTAAGTCTCAGCGTTCACCCTTAGAAAGTCTATTATATATATATATATATATATATTCTGTTGTTATTCTCTAAAAATTGTGTAGCACTTAAAACAGTGATTGGATAATTCTACTAGACGTTTGATATTGGTTAAAACCTCCTTAAAGTCTCTTGTTCGAATGATTTTTTTTAGTGAGACCAGTTGGATTTTAGTGCCAGTAGTATTTGTCTATGACCGCTTGTAAATATCCACAGTCTGCAGCAACCATATCTTTGCCCAAATCTGTTTTTAATTTTTCTTGAATATTTCACACTAGAATTTTAACTTTCATTTCATATCTTTCCTTCCCACTAAGTATTTAGTCACTTACTTAGATTATTTTACAGTTCGATTTCGTTGGATCCCCACTTTTTTATTTTTATTCCTTTGCGCTCCAATTGGAAATCGGAGCCTCAAGCATGAGCTTGGAAGTTTCATTGGCAGAGATGTTCATTATTTTTACGAGTTGGGGTTGCTAGCCTCACGCCCAACCTTTCCTCTTTATTCGGCCTACTACCGTCTAATCTAGGTTTAGGAGTGCGTCGACTAAGGGTCGAATCCTGGGCCATATGAGGCATGGTTGGAGAATATTCTACCACAGAACCAACTAATAAAACTGAGAAATGAGTTTACTTATTCTGTTTTGCAAAGATATATTACTCTTTATGTGCTTATTGTCTTTCTTGTTGATTAGACCACCTCATGTTACATTTGATGATAAATATCTACTTATATATAATATTTTTTTGAAGCATGTTGTAAACATACTTTAGTTAAGTTCTAGAAATTACCTATTACTTTTTCATTATTTCATTTGCTAAACTTTTTATTCCGTTCTATTGAATACAATATATAAGCAGTTGCATTCTCGTTTTTGTAAGTTGTCCCTACTGAGATTATTAGCTAATAGAAATATTCACCTTTTGTGTTATTAGTATGGACAGCTGTTTCTTCAGCCAAGTTTGGGTTCGAACCCCTAACCTTCTGGTCACAAGGCTAGCGAGCTCGTAGACCATTAAGCCACTGGGATTATACACTGCTATTAGTTTACATTCTCAAAGTCAATGCATATTTATTCCGCTACTTTAAATGTAATTTTTGTTATCGGATTACTATAACTCTACTATTACTTACTAAATATAAAATATAAATGTCCTACTGTTCACTAAGATCAATCCAAATTTGTTACAGATCAATTACCCGGAACAGATTCATCATGTATGAGACTAAGAGCCACACTTCTTGCATAAAGACTGACCAGACGAAAGTTGGTTACCTGTCGGCTGGAAACCGAGTGCTTAATCCATTGAGCCACATCTCCATCTATCAGACGGTTTCACAATTTGTCTTATATATATATATATATATATATATATTCTCTCTTTCTGTCTCTCCAACTTCCCTTTGTCGTATGTTCCCAGTTTCCATATCTGCGATATAGGCGTTGCGTCATTCCGATTGCACGTGTGTGGTGTGCAGTGATTAACCTCTCTGTCTCTCCACCTAACTATATTACTTTTTAATACTTTCATCCTGTCCCACCCTATTTTGTGATCACATGCAAGTGAATGCAGTGCAATGGCTGACATTTTTTCTAGGTTATTTAACTTAGAAGGGTCAATCGTTCTAGATCTATCTTCCAATAATCTAGCTGACGCCGAGCTACTAGTTTGATCTATGTAATTGACCTCTCAGTCATTGCATGGTATTTGGTAAATTCTGTTACTTCTCTTAATTGGATCTATCGGGTCCTTAACCCAACAAAGTTTATCTCTGAAAGAGTTGGTTGGTCTAAATAACACCCTAATTCCAGACTTATTAAGAATCCTACTCAAGGCTTTTGATGTTTCTTCTTCATATGGCAGTACCACACAGGCTTTGAATTCAATATTATGTTATTTTCACCATTTTCATTACTAATCTTTTTTTTTTCTATGGTTATTCATACTCTTTTGGATAAATTCTGGTGGGTGGTTATTCACTAGTAATATTTTCCTTATTTGTTTGATTTCATTATTTAAATCTCTCAGCTTACTAGTTAGGCTCCTGGACCAATTGTATAGATATTTAACTAAACCTACCTTTACCGATCTCGGATGGAATGAATTAAAGTCTAAGTATTTGTTAGAGTGTTTCGGTTTCTTGTAAATGTTAATATCTAACCCACCGTCTTGTTTTTGTTTTATTCTTCAGTCTAGCATAGCCAACCCTGTTCGTTTCCTAACTAAGGAGTGAATTAGATTACCTCTATTATTGAGTTTATTTGCCTGAAAAACTGAGGGATATGTTGGGATTTCAACACAGTGAATATGTCATCCGCATGTCTTCACCATAACCTATGAGCCGGATTAAACTTTCTATGAGCCTTATGTTCCCAACTATCCATAATTATTCAAGTATTGGTTTGTAGGGATTTGATTGATTGGTTACAGGATTTCATCATGAGCTGACATTGGTTAGAGAACCTGAGATGCTCACTGGCGACAGTCCCTATTCATGTAGGTAGTTACCTCGGGTTCCAGTGGGAAGTCGTGACCAGTAGGGTACAGCAGGTCGGGTGTGAGGACAAATATTCGCCGAAGAAATTGGCTAGCGGTTGCGCTATATCGTGAATTGGCAGAAGTTAGAATTCATGGGCCATTGGATCGGGTCCCAGTAGCTTAATGGTATGCGAGCTCGCCTTGTAACCAGAAGGTCCTGGGTTCGAACCCAGGTGGGTGCGTACTGCTGAAGAGTCCCAAACTAGGATGAAACAGCTGTCCAGTACTCCCAGGTTTTCCAATGGTTCTCTAACTAATGTCAGCTCATGATGAAATCCTGTATCCATAATTATGTCTGCTACTATTGGGGATATTGGTGATCCCATTGCCACCCCATTCGTTCGTTTTGAAATTTTAATACAGTAGAACACTTAATATTATTTCATCAACTGAGAGCTTGGTCCTACTTTTGAGTTCAGGATCAATGTTCAGTTCATTCCCAACTGCCTCCAGAACTGTATTAATGGGAATATTAGTATATCAACTGGTTATGTCAAAGCCAATCATATTTTCTTTTTCTAATTGAATTTCCTCTAGTTTTTGTTTCATTACATAGAATTTGACCTATTTGTAATGGGGTATAACACTGATGCTAAATATTTAGATAACTTGTACATCGGAGTGTTTTAAAGTCAGCTATTGGCCTGATAGGGTATCCTGCTTTATGCATTCTTATAGTCCCATACATTTTACTAGGATTATTAATTTTAGGCATAAGATTAAACCAAAGATGATTTTATACGGCTCTGACTTGTTCCACAGTAGTTTTGTGTATTTCACTTAATGCTACTTCTATACTAGAAATGGCATCTTCAGGTTTTAATCTGTTAACAGCTACATTAAAGTTTAATCCCTTTTCAAGTATTTTTCTTTTTCTTTTATTGCATACTGTTTATTTTGGTGTTGTTCAAAGTAGGAAAGTTAAATGACAACTATCACTTACATGCAAAGATAACAAATTAATTAGGCCGTATAAAGCAGACAAAGCTGTTAGAAAAAAATTTCATGCGAATTTATCACACTTTACTGGGAACCCTTTCTGTTATACAGTTAATGTTGCGCTTGTGAATGAAGGCCGGGTACATTTTCAATGTTTACAACTAAGTGTATGAAACACCTTATATATGACCTCATCAGCCCTAGTATACTAGTATTCAAACTATTGCTAAAGTTATTGATCGTAGGAGGCATATTAAGCCAAATGACTGAATACAATCAGTTTAGCGTAAATAATCAGTTTTAAGTGTATTCATTATTTGTAGTGCGTTTTATTTTTTGTAGCAACACTATGAATACGTTTCTTCACTTACATTTTTCACATCAACTATTATCAAATAAATAATAAAAATATGTCGGTGTTTTGAATTACACAGGTAAATGTGATCAAGATTCAACTACCTGCAGTGATCAGTCATCTGAAAAATGTCCTGATAAATCGGGTAATTCTAAGTCTAAAAGAAGGAAAAGTACACTCAGTCCAGATCCTCATTTCGAAGATCGTTTATCGGAAACAATCGACTTCGTTTTATCTCAACATGCCAATTCCAACTCTTCTAACCAGGAATCTGATTCAGCTCAACAAATTACAGATGAACAACAAAATATTGAGAAAATTTCTCATCGATATGGACTTAGACGTTCATCACGTAATATACCAACCTTAGAAAAAATGATCTCAGCTAAAGAAGCCCAATTAGCTGCTTCTAGAGAAAATAACGAAAAATGTGATTTGGATTTACCTCTTCAGTCTTCACCTACAGACAAACATTTGTCAAGTTCTGCAAAGACAGTAGTTCGTAAACACCCTAAATCTTATTTCCCACCAAAAGTTAATCTTTTAAAACTCAAGGAAAGTATTTTAGGTGATTCATAATAACAATGTAACTTTTCTAAAGTACTGTATATAAAATGTCTTTACATAAATGTTCACATTTTAATTACCTTGAATAAAACATTTTTACTTGATTGTAAATTATTAATTTTTCACTTTTTAAGTGTTATTGTACCTTTTAATTGAGGGAGGGTAGGGGGTCAAAACATCAACTGTCATCAGGTTTATGCACCCAGGAAACATATTTGTTTTTTTTTCAAATAAATACTTCTTATTTCTTTTAAGTCACTTAATTGTTCACGAACATATTATGCACAACTTGGTTACTGGGTCTATGTATGTTTTATTGTTGTTGATGGAGCTGTTTATTTAATAACACTAACTTTGGAAAGAGAAAGAAAAAAAGATTGTTGCGGGATAGAATGGATCCATTTTATTTCGTAAGTCCTCCTCAATCTGCCTTGAACCTGTAAAATTTAATAAAACGAATTAAAGTGTAATTTTGACATACAGTTAGTTAATCATCATGAAGCAGTCCTTCAATAAAGATTGTTGTAAGAAAAAAGTCCATGGTGGAACAAAACATAAGGATGATGAGGTTATCCTAACTTATTTATTTAAGCACAAAAAAAACTTGGTACAATATGGCACCAAGTAGATGCGCCACATATATGACATAAAACTTAAAAATATAAGTAGAGAACGGATAAAGTACTTCATCTGGGAGGAAAGTAGGAAATTGCAGCACGTTCGCCACTGATTGAGATTCTTGGCCATATCCGATAACGTTTCAAACTATCTCTCGGACTCCAACGAGGGAGTTGTGACGCACCAACTGATGCTAACCTAACACAAATATCCTCCATCTCACAACGCCACGTCATGGGCTGACTCCCCCTCCGCTTTTTCCAACCCGTTCCAGAGCTAGCGAACAGAGACCTGTACGGAAGCCTCTGGGATGATATTCGTATCACATGTCCAAGCCACCGAAGCCGGTGTTTCCAGATGACAGCACTCAACGAATGGTGATTTCCACTGCATTTAAGTACACACTGCCTGATCCCAGAATTACTCACACGATGATGCCATCGAACGCAAACATTCCTACGGAGACAGCAATGATCGAATACGCAGAGTCACCGTACATCCTCATTTCTGAGAGGCCAGGTTTCACAGGTGTGTAGAGTGAGTCGACACACACCGAAACATTGTAAACTCGACCTTAGACAGCCAAGCTAACGTCGCGACGGCTCCAGAGGTGGCTCAAATCGACGTATGCCACCCTAGCCTTCATGATACGGTTGGAAATCCCATCCGTCACGCCTTCACCAGTACTCACACAACTACCCAGATACAAGAACTTATCGACAACTTTAAGCGGTTCACCTGCCAGAGTGAGTGCAGGTATAGGCTCCTGCCAATTTTGTAAACAGTACTTTGCACTTAGACGGCGCAAAGCATATGCCATACCTACAGACACTGGTATCTTAAATTAGTATTACATGTATTATATAAGAGCGAAGTTCTTCTGTAAGAAATGGGAAAAAGTTGTTAGCGTAGCGATATGTCAGTGATAGTTACGTAATCAGAGATAATAAACTGCGTTGATTAGAATCAAAATTAGATGTGTATGAAGTCCATGAAAACGATGATGATGGAAGTAGAATTCGAAGGACTAAGTTTAACATGAAAGTCATGCGAAAAATGGGAATGAAAACAAAGTAATCAAACCAGAAAACCAAGGAGAGATTTACCACAGTAATCGAATTCCAACGACAGATTCCTTTTCAATACAAAGGTTAGGTTCCAACCAGTTCATTGTGATAGCCTCAGCAAACTGAAGAAGTCTTAGGCTGTTTTGTCTGTTAATTATTCTGAATACTCCCAACGCATCTACTCGTCTATCAGGTGTTCGGCATCTGAAGAAATCAATTTATTCGACCCTTCTAATCTAATACTCTTTGGTATTTGTTCAATGAATCTGTTGTAGACCCTTCTTTCTGTTCTCTAAGTGTAGCTGTTTCTGCAGATACGTATAATAATAATAATAATTTGCTTTATTCCAAAACAGTACTTGTGATACAGAATGGAATTCTCAGCATTTTACTACAGTATTGCATCCAGTTAGTATATTATAAATAAATAAAATTTTACATAGATTAAGGAAATCTCAGTTCATTATGACAACAACATATTGGCATGTCGGTAGCAAAGCCAAAATTGAACAGAGTGTTTGAAGGTGTTAGAAAAGTAGATGCTAGCATATTTACTGGCGTAAGCGGTAACAAAAAGGTCGAGATATACGGAGTGTGAAAGAACGAAAAAGAATGTTTTAATTAGAGTTTGTAAGGAAGAGAGAAACAAAGCAGCACATAACACAAAAAAAGAGAGAAGCAAGGAAAAGAAAGAAAACGTTGTACCTATAAATGATATGAGTTGGAAAGACGAGATTCAGTTAGAGGTAACATACGAGGTGTGCTTGTCGATTTTCGACTGCTCCAACAAACAGAATGTTTCTGCTGATAAAACAAAGGTCTGTTAAAATCGTGTTATAATTCGTTTTATGAAATGTTACAGATTCAACTCAGTTGAAGAGGACCAACGAAACAAAATGGATCTGTATGATTCTGCTGTCAATGTTTGTTCTTTCTCTTTTCAAATTTGCGAAATGGAATTTTCGTGTGAAGTTTTTAGACACGAATTTTAATTATCACTCCTTCAACAGATAAATTTTGCATGTATGTTTATTTTCAACTTATTTCTTTTAGAAGCACATAGCCTGTGCCTTTTGTTCCTGCACAAACGTTCCTTAATTTTATTTCAGGGGAGTTTCTGAAGACTCAACTGTCATATATCACGACTTGTTACCTACAAACAACCTTTCCAGTTAAAATATTTCTTTAAAATTTCAACAGGTATCTACTTTGAAATCTGTTGTTTCGTTTACTTGTAATAGGACTATGAAGATGAATTTAGAGTGAAGCTTACCAAACTTTTCAATAGAAAAATCAACTACATATAATCAAATGATTTTCGTATTACTCATTATTTCACAATTTATTCACTAGCATTATCCTTCAGTGTCCGTCTAGTTGTCTTTCTACTTTTCTATCACCAGTTATTAGTCTTTAAATATTTTCATTTGTTTAATATTGTCAACTTTTTCGTCACACGTACGTATCCTGTGGTTTATCATTAAAACTAGGTAACCGACTATTGAGTAATACTTTCGACTTATTTTCCGTTTATCTTTGTTTAGGTTTTTAAGGTCTACAAATATTGTACTTATGAGTCATAGTGGTTGTAATAGTTAAGATATTTGCAAGTGGAAAGCATCACATAATGACTTTTTAACTGATGAAAAGGACTGTTTTCCTGGTATTCATAGTCTTAATTAGAATCGTACGTTTCTTTTATCCATTGATTGCTTACTGGGGTTTACTGATAATCTGCGTCGAAGTACTGCGCTATGACTTTCTGACTTCATTAACCCGTATACACACGGTTTTGATGTGATTGTGTTTCCCTGATCTTGGTGGTTTAGTTGTGGAGCTTTCATTGTATTTCTAGACAACATCTTCAGTGAAAAGTTCACAATTAAGTGAACTTATTTCAATTCTGCATCACTGATGACATAATTGTCTCTCCTAATGACCTTGGCTGTGAATTTTCACTCGTATTGGTAGCTGTTGTTGGCTTGGAGTTGGAATATTTTGTCATGAGACGTATTCCTTATAAGTTGATAATTTTGATGTATGTTAATGTGTCTGATGATCGTTGATTCGGCTGAATATCATACTTCTAGGGATTCCCTGGTATTTTTTCTGTTTTCACTGTTTAAAATTTCTATATTTTTTCCAATAAAAAGGTGTCCACAGTTGCCTAAATACATTGGAATGAAAAACAGATAATGTCTTTTGACAGCTAGTTTATGTTCTTGAACTTGAAGTCGAAGGGTACGCTCATTTTGAACAATACAGAGCTCATCACAATTCAGGTGACCTCATTTGTAAGTAGTATTGATCTTGTCTTCTCTTATCTTGGGGTGTTTTGGTCTGCATATTGTTGAATGAAGTGGTTTTGTCACTTTGTGTGAGAAATCCACTCTGAATTGTTTCAGTTATTTCAGATTCTTTATATGTGGTACGATGGATTTTGAAATTCTTGTGGTCTGTGACGATACGTGAAAGGTTACTGTCTTAATCACAATATTCACAAGTTGTTCAGAAGGTAAACTTTATGTCTCAGTTTCTAAGCATACTTACTATTGCGCATTAAGCTGTACTGCAACTTCATATGAATTAAATGATTACGAATTTCTTGCTCCCTCGTCCAATATAAGAAAGTTAACAGCACACAATAATTACTTCACTAGATTCTCCACATTATATGCTGCAAAGAAGAATAGACGAGGGATATAATACAAGGGTCATTTCTGTAATTGCCGTCCCAATTTTCGTTTAATTTCATCACAGATGTACTAATGTAAATAACTGCATAAACTTACCGTAGAGCAGTCTCGTCGACTTAGAGTATGGGGCTGATATTGTCTTCTACTTCCATTGAAAGTTGAAGATACGAAAAGACTCGATGTCTCTGATCATAGAAGTCTGTATTCTTTCTCGTGTTAAGTGGTATAATATGGTAGTATTGAGGTCAGGTGTAGAATGTTACGTAAGTTAATCAATGAGGATGTGAAGGTGAATCGATTCATATGACTAGGACACATGTTGCTCATCCCAAGACATCGCCTTCCTAGACGGCCGTTGTTAGCCAACTTGGGATTAGGTTAGAAAAGAGTTAGATGTGGTCAAACCACAACCTAGCATCAACTCATGAAATATTTGACAGTTTGAACATCTATTAGAGATATGACTCAGATGCCTTTATTATTTGTGAATTTCCATATCCAATAATACCTTATTTTCTTTCCATGTAACTGCTTCTTTCTCCCTCATATTTCTGCACATTATTATTATTGTTCACTTGGGTTCCAGATGGAACAAAGGTCGTCAACATCTTATCCCTACTTTGTTCTTTTCTCTCCGATTCTCTTTAGCTGTCCTAACAACAGCCCATAATATCTCATGTTCACCTCACACGATCTCCTCCATGTCACCCTTAAATTCCAAACTCGTCGTTTCCCATTCGGGTTCCACTTGTAGTGACCCGTTTTATTACTCATCATCGCAGTATACTTTCATTGTGTAATTTTACTTTGATTTGTTATTACTCTAAATCTTGCATGTTAACAATTGATACTTTTGTACTCGCTCGATTTTTGAATTTTGATTGCTGCAATAATACACTATCGTATTCCTTCGCAAGTGCCTTTTGAATTACGTTGCGGATGTCGAGTAATCGCAACGTTAGGTCACAATTATAAACGCGAAGAAATACTAGAAAATACGTGTACTCTAGTTCAGGCAAAATATAGCAGCAACAAATTGGCGAGCTCGACAGAGCTGATTGATGGACTACATCATTTC